ACACACGCCCGGATAGGTATACCATACCCAGACGCTCCAACGTCACAAGCAGTTGCAGAATGATAATAATAAATGATCAACATGCACCCTTAAGGCTGTTTTGTCCCAAAGGCGGCTGTTTTTGATACGACCAGGCGGAAGCTGGCTACTATTGTAGCAGTGAGGTGGGACATCCAAAAGAACCTGTCCAAGGATCTTGCTGTCCTGTGTTTGGAACCCTTGGAAACGGTGGGGCAACAACGCTATCAATCCAGCGGATCTGTTTTTCTCGGTCACGAACAAAGCCAGCCAACTCGTGCTCGTGCGCGGTGGACGATCCGGCTTCCACACCAGTACCTAGACGCTGCATGGGACTGCCATATATACCGATCAGTTGGGGTGGTTCGGGGGGTCAATGTAGGCATTCATACCTGGATCTTCCAACGGCACAAATTTTTGCCGGAGGCATTTTTTAGTGAAAAGACGCCGTAATCAAAAAAAATGCCGTTTTATGGGTTGTACAAAATCCATGGACGGGGAAAGACGCTGTTTGGACGCCCAAAGACGCCGTTTGGACGCTTAAAGACGCCGTTTCTTTTTGCTGTCTGCCGGCGTGCGCCTCGTCACAACAAAAAACGCCGTCTTTGGAAAAAGACGCCGTAACGGCATTTTTTCCTGAAAAGGCAATTATTTGTGCCGTTTCGAAGATCCAGGTATATTCCATACATGGAGCCTATGGGGTATGGTGGACGCATTTTTGGGGCACGCAAAGTGATTCTCAATGTCGCAACCTTCGCAGGTGAAGGTTGTGGTGTGGCGGTGATGATGAGCCAACACAGAGAGGAGCCTGATCAGCTGGATCAGCGGGAAAGCGGGCAATAGTCATTAGATGACCCAAGAGACAAATTTCCTGTTTACTTGAACAATACTGTCGAAGGGAATTCAAGCAAAGTACATGGCGCCACGGATCTGTTTCTTCTGTTTGCGTGGGCCGCACCGCCCGGGTATCGCGCGCGGGTGCGAGGACTCGGCGCAGCTCATGCTCAGTCATGCCTGGGCGGAGGACGTCGAGGTGCCACACGGACCGGGAAAACCGCCGGTCGGGACGGAGGGCGACGGGTCCCTCCCGAATCCTCTGGGTCGGGGTCGACCGCCGGGTTTCGAAGCCATTCGAAGCCAATCCCTGGTGAACGGAGGGATCAAGGTCGGTGAGGTTTGAGCGTCTGGGAAGTACCTGATTCTGGGTCCAGACGGTTCAAGATGTTCATCAAGGGTTTGGGTTCGGTCCCTTTTCCCCCTGCCGACTGGAGCGAGTACGGTACAACCCTTCGGACCCAACGATTCGGTGTTTTGCTTGGGTATATTGATCCGTTCAAAAACGTTTACTGTACCTTTCCCAGCAAGAACATTCAATCATGGCGAAACAACTTGTGTGCCGACACATGGATGATTCATATCAATGATTCACAAGAGGGACAACAATGTGGCACAGGTGCAGATTGAGATTAGGATGATTAGGAACTTAATATTATCCCGTAAGCATATTTGTGATGATGATACCATTTAGGATGAAGGGGCCATGTGCCCTGCCCCTTTTTTGCATATGGTTAACTCACCACTACTAACCAAGGACTTGGAGGTATGCCGCCCATGGAAGAAGATTGTCACCAGGAAACACACTCCCTGGAACTAACATGGTTACGTGGATGGCATGACCCCGAGTTCGGAAGACAGGTGGTGAAATCCACGAACCAAACAGGTGGTGAACTCCACGTAACCATGTGAGATTCTAGGGAGAGTACCTTCGGGTTCGGCGGCAAAAACCATTGACCCTGAGAGGGACAACCATGCGATGCACCACATGCGATGCATCACCTCTCAAGACCTCGGCGAAGAAACCAGAAAGGCGCACACCCTGACGAGGTTGCAGGATTGTGTCCGGTCGACCCGACGAAGGCTGCAACCAAGACATGAACTAAACCAGAAATGGGTCCTATACCTGGGCCCCCTAAGGGGTGGTTAATGGGCACCCCTTAACCTCTAAGGGGCTATCATTAGGCCCCCCTTAGGGGTCCCAGGTAGGTACCATTACAGTACCTCATTTTCTGAGGTACGAGGGACCTGTAGAGGTACCTCTGAAATGAATGAGAACTGCGTCCGACTGCATTGGGTTTTTGGGAGGCCAGGCACAGGGGCTCCTTCAGACAGCTCGTGTCATGCGATGTGTCACGCATGCGCCAATTCATGGAGAGAGCTGAGGAGTGCCAATCTGCAGTGATGGAGCACGTGAGGCGAGCCAATCTGCCCAGTGCCTTGGTGGCGGGACTCGTAAGGTGATGATCGGACCAAGCTGGTGGATGCAAAAACAATCAAAAATGCATCCACGTTGACAGCTGGGTCAAATGAACAGATTCCTCTTTAAGGGACGTCAACCTTCCATTCTTGTGAGGGTGAGGTTCAAACCCTCAGTGAAGTGTTCAGGAAGGTTCAGATACCCTATAGTCAGACCATGTTTTTTGATAAGTGTCGACTTCGAGGGTATATTTGTGGAGTGTTTGTGTCGGGGATTTACAAAACCCGGTGAAACCTGCGTGAAATCGCAGGTAGAATCTCTCGCATTTCACCCTAAAATGTGGGCCTGACTCTTTGGTCCCCGGTCTTCCTTAGAGCTTTCCAGGATTCGTGGTTCCTTGGTTTCAGACCTGTTTTTCAATGTTGGGATGCTTGCTTGAAACCACTGAGGTCCATCTATCCCAGACCATCCATGTATGGTATATATAACCTAGATCTTCCTTTGATACACTTTTATTTGCCTCGAATCATTTGCGCCTCGTTTGGAAAAATGCGCTCGTTTTAATGCCATGGCATATCATGGTGTTGATGATAGAGGCCCACACACGCCACCCGACGCCCACAGCCAGTGCACACACACTTTTTCCAGATCAACGGCGACCTCCTGCACCGCCGGGGCTCCCAGCTTCAAGGCAACAGCGCTGCCACTGGGTTCTGTATTCGATCAAACACTTCTCAATCGTTCCCTTGGCAGCTTTAAGGCTGTGTACTTTCCGATTCACTCGACATATGCGACCTATAAAATCTTCATCGCTCCAACAGGCTGTGCCTTAAAGAAAGTGTGCGCAGCAACAAACATGAAAAGGTTGGAGGAAACTGAGGTGTGCACACGCTGGGGAAAAGATATGTGTGCAGGATAGGTCTGATAGCTGATCTTCCATTTCTCTCCTCAGCTAGTAACTAGTATTGCCAAGTGTGCTTGTAAACGACGTGGCTAGATCAGCCAAAAGAGGTGCCACTGAGAATCACAACGTGCAGCATCAGGTGTAGTTTGGGCCTGATGTACCACAGCTTCCATCCAAGTGCATGGCTAAGCGACGCGCACGCTCCAAAGGCCTCCTTGGCTCAGGAGCTTCGACTCTAGAAACAAGTTACGTGGTAACTGCAAATGAGGTATGTCCTACCAAGTATCTGTGAAAGCCCAGCCGTGCTGTACGGCAAGTTTGGCTTGCTGGCGGTCTAGCCACGTACTTCCGGAATACACGAGCCGGAAAAATGCATTTGCAGAAGCGTTTCCCCACTTCACGACCTGCAGGAGATCCCGGCACTGTTCCTTATGATCCATGGAGAGGTCATGGGTCACAGAAGCATGACATGGATTATCCAAGTGGCTGGCACGTCCTCCCAGGACAGCTTCTGAAGGACAAATTCCAACCAAGCCGAGATCACTGCACAGTCGCTGCCTTTTCCCAAGCCTGCTGGGAAATCTTGCAACCTGGGGTGAGACACGCGGGCGTTTGCACCTTCTCAAGAATGAACACAACACTTCAAAAACATGACTTGCTGACCGATCATTTGCAGTTCAAAACAACATGCTGCAAAGTTTCGAAGAGATCTTGAGGGTAGTCTTAGAAAACTCTGTCACAGTCGTGCGCTTGCCTTTCTGACGAGTCCATTCTTTGAAATGGCAAAACGCCTCTTCCAATTGCGCCTCAAAGCTAGCGTGGCCAAAGATTGAGCACCTCACGGCGAGAAAAACCAGCGTACTTGCAATATCGTCTTTGCCGAAGCCAGAAATCGCATAGCAGTGAGCAATGTCAATTTTCAACGCTCTCACACTTTGACCAAATTCAATTGGCTCAGCGAATCGGATGGCGGCCATATCACCCTGGTGAAATGGATCCTCAACCTCTGCACCCTTTGGCATCGAACGCACCGGGTTTCCAGCAGAGACATCATACCAGTCCTCAAAACAGCTGAGTTGGCGCGTGACGCATGGAACCTCATGCTGAAACAATTAAGTGGCCAAAGCTATCAAGTTCGAGATTCCACACCACTGCAAGCATGGCAAACACGGAGGCTTGTAAAACCGCTATACAGTTTGTAACAGCTACGAAGAAATGGCCAATCTCCCTTTGTTCCAGCGAATTGGATCCACCATGTGAGGCGCTTGCCATCCACACAAACCTGCAGCTCTGAGAAACAATTCATGTGCAGATATCATGCCCACGCGGTGCTATGTGCATGTCAGATTGAAATTAGGAGAGCCACCTCTATTCCGGTTTCCCTAGCACGGTTGAGGTCTTGGGTCAAGGTTTCCATCAAACATTGTAGAGTAGATCCATCCGGTGCATACTGGGCAGAGGGGACGACTGTGAAGAGCATCCGCGTGTTGAAGGTATTCCTCGGGTGATTGTGGATTGAATTTGCCAGTCCCTTTCTATCGTACCCGCAACTCAAACTCAAACAAAACAGAAGACTCCGATCCGAGGTTCCCATGGGAGTTTGGGGTGGCTTCACCCACCACGCCCAGAACAGGTTGGTATGCCAACACCAGGCAAGGCCGATGTACAAGGCCTCTGCCTTCATCACCATGAAGGAACACCGGTATTGTTCTTCGGGGATGGGTGGGAGACAACGCGGTCTCCACTTTGGCGTACCGATGCCAAAATGTTTCCAACATGTCTTCGGCTTGCTCTAGGGTGTCGAGAGTATGACCACCTAGAAAAAAACGTCCTCTGTACTCGGGGTCTTCCATACATACCTTGACCCAATCCGTCAGCAGCATGCACGGCCAAGGGATGATCTTCACCTTGACATTCTTCTTCTTTCTCTTTGTCAACGCACCAGGCGCACAGCACCTGACAGGTGTTTGAACGAAGGTGATCGGAATTGGCAATGCTTTGTTTTTCCGAAGGATGTACCGGTAAAGGTTCCGGGATGCATTGCTTTCACGTCCAAGACTTCTGGCAAGGCCAGAAAATTCTGGATTGGTGATTCCTAGGATTGGTTCTCTCCAGAATGCTGCCCATGACATTGGTAAGAAAACACAAGAACCATTGACTTTCAAAGAACAGGCTCCGTGTTTTGATAAGAGCTTATGGGTCTTCGCGACACTGCCCCTCACATCCTTGGCAGTAGCCTGGTTCGCAGCTCAAAAATCAGGATTGTCCACAGAACACTGAGCAGCATTCTTTCGGAATCTCCTAAGCACAGCCCGGCAACACCTTTCGCAAAACTGTGCACCAAGTGGTCCACCAAGCTCTCACCGCTGGAGCTGTCATCGTGAGTAGCGGTACCTGGAAGAATTTGGCACGAACATGTTTGCTTTCCAATGTTGAACAGGGGGCGCATATCTTGATCAATCGGTGACCTGGCGTGACGGTGAGTGGTCGGTTGTTTGAAGGTTCCAGGGATTCCCAGGGTATGGCTTGCAAAGTAAATTCAGCAAATACATGTGCATATCTGACTTCGCGTGCACAAAGACACCGTTTTTCCCCTGGTTCTCAGCCATGGTGTAGTTCTGGCTTGGCATTAAAGCGCATCTCACTTCATGGAGATACGGGAACTCTTGTCTTGACATGTGTCCAAAAAGCCAAAACACGATGCTTCCCGACTATTGCAAAGCAATTTACATCGTGTCACTATGGCCGAACACATCCCCATATTCGGAGAATTATGATCGATCTATGCTTTTGCCTCCTTGGCCTTAGCAGCCTTGGATGCTTTCGGTTTGGATTTCCCCTTTGCCTTTGCCTTTGGCTTCGGGGCAGGCGGCGCAGTTGATGCGGTAGACGATGACTTCATGCCCCTTGGCGGCGGGGGGTGTCAAACCATATTGCACGACATTTATGGACGTCTTAAATCTGCATGTTTTGCACTTTTGATTAAAGCCTTGGAAGGTATGTGCGTGTGTGGTCAGCTAATGTTTTCAAACCAGGCACTTTCCTCGCATGATCATGGCATTCATAGCCACATCCATTTTGGTGCAGGCCACAAACTTCGCTTGGACGTCGTCCTTTTTCGACCTGAGTTTTTTCATGCTTTACTTGCACGCATTAAATGCCTCCCTTGTTGGTACGCTCAATGGGAATCTAACATGCAGGACAGGGTACTTGTCAAAAGCTTCTGGGGTGACCGTGGCTTCCGATAGCAATTGGCATAGCTGGTCGTACAAGCTTTGCATTTTGGTCAGCTGGGTGTGCATCAGGTTGGCCAGCCTGAGTGTTGATTAGGTGACTTCAGGAAAACTAGACAAACATTCACTGGCAACATATTGCATCCCAAGTACGAGGAAGCCCCGGGCTGTCCTAGTTTCGAAAGCCTCTCCTGCAAGAGTTTTGTAAAACTATCTGAACATTTATGGGTTTCAAGAATTGGTTCATGATCTTTTAAGTTAAGCTGTCCTGCTCAGAACCAATCTTGTCGATTTTGCGCCCGAGAACTTCTACAAATTGTGGCAAAATCTGCAGAGGGGAAGTGGTAGCTGAAATGCTCGGGAAGCAAAGCCTTGGATGGAGGACTGGCAACCAATGCGTTCAACTACCTAGTGGAAAACTTTCAAGGTCAGTGTGTTGTTCAGGGGACTTGAAGCTCATCACACCAGTCGTGGCCCCAACCACATCCTGACCGCCTGAGGATGTGGGATCACCGCCGTTGCCAGCCGAGGCCGCTCCGCTGTTGAAATCGGGGAGGTCCGTGTTGAAGAGGGAACCGCTCTCATCCTGTCAGACAACAACATGCATGTGTTGCAAGCTGCTTCACAAAGATTTTTTGAGCACAGCTCCTGAACTGAAATGTTGCCGCATTGCTCCGTCTCTTCCGATTGCGTGTTAGTGAAATCAAATGTCTCACTCACCAAAATGTAAATTTCTTCTTCTCCATGTACGTCGTTGACCCTCCAACGTTTGTTGGTTTTGGCCCACGCCCATGCTCGCTCGATCATCTTCCTTAGAACTAAAATAAACCACGTTCTTTTTGACAGCTACATGTCATCTCACATGACCATTGCAAAACAGATTAAGACATGTTTCTTTGTCCAACCTTCCACAAGCTCAAGCTTGCTCTTGGTGTACCACCCCCCCTTCTTTGACTGCGCGTGACTCGAGAGAGTTTTCTTCTTGATGGCAATTTCAAGGTCGCCGAATGAGCCATGTTCCAAAAACATTTTTTGAAGTTCTTTGCCTCAGTTTTGCAACGTTTGCTGAACACTTATCTAGACACCATCGCTTTCAACGCACAAGAATTGTAGCGACTAACAGCGCGTCCAAAATACGTTGTGTCGGATCGTTCCACATCTTCAAAGCCTCCGGGGAGCATTTCAATTGCCCACCAGCCTTTGGCTTGAAGTAGCGGCGAAGCCTTAGCACCAGAATATGGCATGTTAATGTTTAAACCCACAGGATCCCAAAGGCTACCCAATGGTCCAAGGCAGTAGCGGCGGAGGTAGAGAAAAAGGGGCCGTCCAAACGTCGACGGTTGGACGGCCCCTTTTTTGGCAGTCGTGTAACAGCAGGTTTGGCAGTCGTGTAACAGCAGGGCACAAATCGGGCCAAGCAACTTCCACTACGGATTTCCACCATCTGATGTTGATGGTGGTGCTGCCTGGGAGACAGAATCATCCACCTCAAGACCATCATCAAGGTGTTCAACATGCCCCAATTGCCCGGCAGGCACTGGAGGCTGGATGGCTGGCACAGGTGTCACCGATGCTGGTGATGGAGCCGCTTGTTGCTGCAAGGTTACAGCTGCTGCTGGGGCTGGCTGTGTGTTGTCAAGCAAAGTAGGGGCTGGGGTTGGTACTGGAACGCTTGCGGCCGGTGTGCTTGTGGCTGGCGCTGTTGTGGAGCTTGTTGTTGCGACATGCTGTGCAACCGTGGCTGGTGTTGGTGTTTCAGCCGAGCTCCCTTGAGCTTCAGCTGGCACTGGGGGATGAGCAGGTGGTGCACTGTCCAATGGCGGTGCATTCGGGCCTGATGCTGGCGCCGGCTGTTGCTGATAAAGCAGTGTTGACATTGTTGGCGCACGTCCGAAGTTGTTCGGGTCGTAATTGTATGAAGGCAGTGCGTCTGGTGGCGAATCATGGACCCACTCAGTGGCATGGGGTGTGCCATGCTGGGTTTCCTCAACCACAACCTGTGTTGCCTCAACGCTTGCTTGTGTTGCCTCAGCCGGTGTTGGAGTCTCATTTGATGATGGCATGTTGCCAGCGCAGTAGTGACCACGCGCCTGTGCCAAATAGGGAGCTCCTCAGCACAAGTGTAGCGGATCTTATGATAACTCCCGGTTTCCGTCGTTGCTGCGGGTTGTGCCACAAGAAAACTATATGATGTGGTTCCCACTTAAACGGCTGGAGCTTTTACCTGGCTGGGCACTGTGGTCGCCTGGTAAAAGCTCCAACACAAGACCCATGCAAAGCCACATAACTTCAGCGCGGCTGAGATTCCAGGAACAGTAACAGAAGGAGCCGCTGGTGAACATTGATTGGATAACTTCCGGCGGAGCGCGGCAATTCGTTCTTGGCTGGCCTGGACAATATGACCGCACGACGAGTGTTTTAAGTTTTTACGATCTTGAACCGTGAACGTCAGTAACAAAAACCTTGACCACAAACATAGAGCACTGGGTTCCTTGATGTTCTCCTGTAGCGAACGTTTCCGCGCATCGTGATCTCCATCATGACCAGCATCCGAAGCAAACTTGACCCCTACCGTTCCGTTCATCAGGGTCTCGGCTGAATGAAGTCTAGCTGTCATTGGTTTCAGCCAAAAGGGGAAGCTACCACATGAAATTTGACACAACGGTTGTCAATGGTTCCAGAAAAAAGCTCATACACCACCACACCTTGATTTCCAAAAGAGGCACATTCTGAGATTGCGCCTTTTTGCGCGTTTTTGCGCCTTATTGCGCCTATTTGCGTGCGTTTTGCGCCCTTTCCGGTGGCCCCCAAAAAAGTTAGAAAACAATGAAAACATGTTGAGCATCAACTATTGGAGACGGCGCCTGGATAGACAAGCCAAAACAGGCTTGGGGTGGGATAAGCCCCGATGAATTAGCTGCTGAATTGTCTTCCTCCTGTAGCTAAAGCCACAGAACTTCAGAATTGGTGGAACCTAGCTTCTCGGGTCCACCAAGCGAGCGTACTCTTGGCGCAACTCGTGATCTCCAAGAACCTGCCCGTTGCATGGAGCCAACATCGAAGCGATATATGTTACATATCACACTTCAATGCGCAATTAGAGGCCTCCATTTCATAATCATTGACAAAGCGCTCAATAGCATCTTTCCATTCCATGGGAATCCTACCGAGACAGTATGTCATATGGATGTATCAAATTTACCAACAATCATGGCATACATATCATGGCAAAGATGGTCACCTGGTCCGTTTGCAGGTGAGGGCATAGCGGATAGGTTCTAATAGGTTGGCGTCTTCCCATAAGTCTCCAAGTGGTAGATTGTCAAATTGTTGGACCAGGGAAGCTGTGGAGTCCGATTGAACCTTGAAGCGCAAGTCCCTCCGAGCAGGCCCTGCCAGATGTTCTTCATGAACCGCTTTGACGCTGAAGCCAAAGCCCCTGGGATATGCCCTGGGCCGGGGCAGTCGTGGGTGATTTGTGGCCGCATGTTGCCAACAACATGGTTGCCGATATAGCGCTGTATAAGTCAGGACACTGGGATGAACGCAAGCTTGGCGTCCCAACAAATCGTTTTTGGCCCTGTCCATCGATATACTTTCCTTAGATTATACTAGCTAGCCTACATCACATGCGAGCATGATGTTGCCACACCAATGCCCTTCCCACGCTTCATCCTCCATATTGCATGTGAGGGTCGTGTAAGAACAGCTGATGTATCACGTTCCCTATCATCCTTTTTTAGCCGTCCCACATCCAATGAGGATACTTCACTCATATTGCTGTAGCACCATGTACGTTTACTCGATGGTCCGCCGTGCAGCATCATCCAGAAGGCTACCTTAAACACCTGAGATCAGAGACGGGGCGACGGCTGATAGAGGGGTTGGTGGAGCATGTTTTGTCATGGGTTTTGAACCGGGCCAACAAGACCAAACAGTCGCCCCCGAAACGGAGCCTTTAGCAAAACCGACCGATCGATATGCAGCTTTGTTGCATAGCACACATGGTTCATCATCCATTCAAACCGTTTGTGGCGTTGAAGGAGTGAATGTTGCGGTTGCTCAACAATCCATGTAAGGTTCTTGCTCATGGCCAACAAAAGGATTAAGGTCAACCTGGGATCGCTGAGCATGAAGGGATACCTCGCCTTGCTACAATAGAAAAACATTCTGTCAAACATAACGCAGCGCATGACAAGTAGCCTACTGATCATGGTCGAGGATCCACGGACCCAAGCCAAAAAGAGGTTTCCACCTACATTGACAAAGTTCCTCAGAGACGTCCCACGCGCCGGTACTCCCCAGGACGAGCAATCTGGTCCTGCGAGGATCAGCCCGTTCTGTTCCATTCTGCAGACCACAGCTACGCAGAGCCTCGGATGGGAAGTTGATGGATCGGGGTGATTGGGCAGCAACATCCAACAGTGTGACAGTTGGGCCAGAGAACAAGAATCCAGCGCAACCTAGAAAGTTCATGCCGCGCTGGTCAAAATCCCTATCAAAGGATGCTGTGGTGTAGCCGCTTTCATACCTTAGGAAAAATTGGCCAGCAGCAGCTAGAGTTTCACAACCAATTGCAACAAACATGACTGGCAATTACATTGGAATCGAAGTATCCGCTGGTACTCACTGAGAAGAAGACATCACATTCGTCACAGCTTGCTTCCCGGCAAATATTTCAAAGAACTGATATGGCTCACGACCGAACTCAGTTGGGAAGTCCATGAAAGACACCAGGAGCACCTAGCAAAAAGATCGATGTTTCTGCACGCCGATCATACTAGACAAGATTTGCTTGCGCATCAGAGTACCAGGGCCGAAGCTAGTGCAATGAATGCCTGACGGGCTCACGCACATTAATCGCATGTTCTTTCAATATTGCACGTTTTTGTTCATTTTGATCATGGTCTGGCCTTGGGGGCCTGCACATGCTGGAGGGAAGTGACAAGGTCCCACATGTTCTAACACTCGCCAAGCGCTCGGTTGTGAAACGGCTACGGACTTCCGAGCTGATGTAAACGTGTTGAAGAGATCACTTGCAAAGCGGGCCAAGGTTGACCAGATTGGAGCGCCCTTCTCCTCCACGTGAAAGAAGAGGAGGGCATCGCCTGCAATGGCAACCCAACAGAGATTGAAAGACCTCTACACTATGGGGCTTGAAACAAAGGATCCCAGGGAAAGTGTTCACAGAAACGATCTAGAATGCAGAATACATGCTTTCATTTGAAGCGCAAGTTAACGCATGTGTGCTGCCATTTTTTGTCTTCTTCGATTGGTCGAGCCAGCAAGCAAACCCCTAGCGACTAGCGGATCACAGGCTCAATGTTGAACCCCATGCCTGAAGCTTTCACTTCAAGCTACACCCGAATTGTCATGTTCATCACGACAATAGACAGAATCCCCTTGTTGTGAAATCAAGCGCCTGCAGCAGCATATGCCTCAGTTAAACCGCGCCATAGAATCATAGATTCTCTAGGCATGCACACCCACACTGCATACACAATCATACGAACGCATACACAAATGTTCATGGGTGAAAAACTGAACGACAAGGCACGGCTTTGGCCAAAGCTAATGCCTCCTCCTTGGACATGCCATCCTTCAAAGCTTTGTTCTTGGCGCAATGATATGCGCTGGATTTGATCGAGACCATCTTCTTCTTTGCAGCCACTGCCTCCGTGTCTTCAACAACTGACCGTCTCTTTCGAGAAGGTTTGGTTGCATCAGCTGAATCAGCCTTCTCGGCCTTCTCCGTGGACATAGTCTCAAGTGACTTCTCAGGTGTCTTGGTCTTCTTCTCCTTTTTCTCCTTGTCCACATCGGACCGTTTCTTCTTGGGTCCCTTGGCATCATCCGACTTCGAAGAGTCCTTCTTACCCTTTCTGGCTGCTGCGGCCTTAGCTTTTGCTTTTGGCTTTGCGCCAGAACTGGATGCCTTGCCATTACAAGCGCTCTTGTCGCCAGAAGAATTCTTGTCCTTTTTGGCTCGTCGCTTCTTGGAAGGCTCCTCAGCCTCAGCGCCTTCTTCCGGTTCCTCATTCTTTGCCTTGCCGCCTCTACCACGTCCTTTCCCTTTGCCACGGCCTCTTCCACGAGTCTTAGCACGCTCAGCCCGCTGCTCATCAGGCGACAGTGGCACAATGCTGTTGCAGACATCAGGACGAGATGGTGCAACAGTCCCTGGTGAAGTTGAAGCATCAGCTGATAAGCCAACCCCCCCAGGATTCGCTGGACACGCATCTGCAGAAGACGAGGCGGTGGCAGAAGGTAATGAAGTAGCAGCGCCAGATGGCTCCTCACCAGGGTGTGCGCGCAATGATATGCTACCCCCCTACCGGAACACCTACAGAGTCGACTATGAGGTTCAATATTCAGGGAAAATGTCACACATGTCGTGTCCGCTCCTTGGCCGGAGCTGAAGGCTCGGGCTCGTTGATAGGGTTGTCCACATGATCATGCTCACCATCCTTTTCCCAAACCTCGCTATTGAGTGAAAGTGTCCTTGCAAATTGAAGTGATGGCTTGGAGTCCTCCTCAACAACCATGCTGCCCCGTGCAGCAGCGTCAGCGTCAGCTTCAGCTGAAGCCATCAAATCTGGAAGGTCCGCAGGATCAATAGGCAAAGTCTCGAGCGCATCCATGCCTTAGATTGGGATGATTGGGAATTCTTCGCACTGCGCAAGACTACAATGTGCCATTGAACAGTAAGAAAAATACCATGCAGCTAAGATACATGGAGTCTTTCCTGAAGGCTTGGCATGCCCCTGCCACCCCTTGAGATCAAACAAGCGTGCTTGATTCGCATCAGGTGGAAGATCAAAAGGGTTTCCATCCTCATCAGGTCTCTTGGTCTTCTTGACCTTCTGAACTGGCTTTGGTGGGGGCATGGACACGTCGTCCAATTTGCGCTTCGCGGCGGCCGCTTCAGCAGCAGAAAGACCAGGAACAGGACCAGGAGTTGGCTGCAATGCTTCTAGATGATTCTGTGATACCGTCACTGATTCAACACCGCGCTGGCTCGACTCTTGCGTGCTTGTGGTCAAAGTAGGCCTGGCTACTTTGCAAGCACCAGAATCTCTCTGCAGCTCAGCCATGCTGGCAAGCTGCTCGGCAAGAGCCTGCTCCTCCAGCAAGAGCTCTAGCTCCAGCTCTTGCAAGTGAAGCGATGTTAGGAGATCAGCTTCCGAGCTGACAGGACCAGGAGGCACCTCGTTGGAAGCCACTGTGCCCGTAGCCTTTGGCAATGCGCCCACCGCATCCTGAACATCCACCATGTCAGTCCAGGTGCAGTCAACCGCACGAAGAATCGTGCAATCGCCCACCATGCTACACTTCTGACACCTGAACCCATAGCGCATATCCTTCACGATGTGGTGCTCCGTGGGCGCGACAGGCAGATCCTGGATCTCCTTGAAGGTCAATGGTCTATCACCTGCGGGCGGACGCACGCAGTGAACATGCATGCGCATTTCATTAGCGCACTGCACATCACACGCGGTAGCACAGCATGATACAGCATGCAAAAATATCATACATGCATGCACATTATAATGCCTTCGCCAGGATCTCGTGATGGCTCATTTGCCATCCAATCTCCAGATGTGCGGGGTCCTAGAAGGATGGCGGCACAGCAGCCACAAGGTCTAGTTTCAAGAATGTTTCAGTCTGAACAACATGTCTCCTGGAACCACAGGAGGAGGGTGGTGATGAAGTGCTTCTGAGACAACTTCTGGAAGTTCCGACTTGCCAGGTGCTTCCTAGCAGGGGCATGCTGATGATTGAGGACGACTTCTAGTGATAAGCGTTTAAGGATTCCCAGCTTGGATTTCATGAGTTCATCTTTGCGGGAATGTTTAACCAGTGATGCACCTCAGGGTTGACGATGGGGTCGTCATCTTCCGCTTCAGACTCGCAACACTCCTCACCAAAATCTTCTTCAGTTGGTTCATCGCCACCTCCAGCCTCCTGAGGCACACTGGTTGGTGCCGTGCTGCTCACTGCGCTACTTCCGCTGCTCAGGCTGTTGCCTTGGATCAGTGCGAGGATAGGGATTGAATGGATTCGGATTGGGATGGTGCTTGACCGATGAGTTGGCATGGGCAAACTATACTAGCTACTTCCTGACAAATCACTGCTCCGACCACGTGGGGTAACATCAGGGATCGGGATGTCAGCTGCCTGCATAAGCTGGCGAAGTTCGTCCTCCTTGGGACGATGGCCCCGTTTTATAGCCCTGGAAGCGCAATAAACCAGCGAGCGAAGAATCCAGGCTTCACAATTGACTTCAGAGCCTGAGGTGGTTTTAGGCTCTTTAAATCCATGGATTCTAGCTCTTCTGTTTTGCTAGCTTTTTGTGTTTGCATGCGATTCAACTTACAAGGGCCCAGGCGGGATGGCAACTTCTTTCCCCTCATCCGGCAGAAAGTTAGGAACAAGTGCACGGCTTCCGATAGGGCCGACAGGGATGGACGCATTCCTTAGATCCATTTACTGGAGGGGCTAAACATGCATGGGTTTCCATAAATGCGAGCAGCTGATTGTCAAATGGTTGTGAGGGGCACTCCCAAAAGAAAAAAACCTAGTGCATTCTATGTTCCCAAGTGTTCAACGATGGGCTTGAGAACAGCAACGTTTTGGCACACGTCACGACGTGAGATCTGGTCTTTGTTCTCTGGGACCTTTGCCATCACCCCTGAAGCAGCTTGGACACATAGGGCAGGCATTTGCTGCCATTCTTTCAATAGGTGTTGAACACCCTCTGTGGGTTGAACAGCCATGCTGGCGATCACTACACAACAATGGAAGCTTGTGGCCAAATGGCTTAGGGTCCATATATTCATACCAAGAAAAGATATGCATTGAATTGCAACCCCAGCTGTCTCCATGTTCCAGCCTTCACGATCCTTCACGAAGCCGCGCAGGTGGCCTCCATCTCGATGTACCTGGTAGCACACACACCAACCAACACCAAAGAGGTGGGCATCAGGCATTGAAGGGGCACGTGCCGCCAAAGATCAAGATCCAAGGGCCACCCTTTTAGCCAAATGGCTTCAAAAGTATACCCCTTTCAAAATTGCGCTCGTTTTGGAAAAATGCCTCGTTTGGAGATTTGCGCTCGGTTTGACCAATGTACAGAAATAAGTGCTCGAGTGGAAGGTGGAGGAATATATATCATTCACATGGATGCTCCATCGGTATTCGGCAACGAACGTCGAGGATCTGCGGCCTTATGGTTTTGCCTCTTTGCCAACTATCAGGCTCGACTCCACGCCGCGCGGCCGCCTTCGGCCAGCCATCGATCCCTAAAAATCCTCGGAACATGGGTACACAGTCCCTATATGGATCCACATACCTTCTGAGAAGGTGATTGGAGATTATCTAGGTGGGCTTGGAGGACCCAATTACCTTCTGAGATATGGTGGCAGTGGATCCCTATAGGGAATGGTGTTTTGGGTTTGGGTCATGTGCCATGCCATCTAGAGGGTACCGAACGAACTGGAGGCTCCAGCTGACTGGCCCCAATTCATTCACAAATCAGATTCGGAGCTGTGGGGATCTGCCACGCGACGCGACCAAAAACGCGTGCCCAGTTTCAGCAAGCGAGCATCGAAGAGTCATATCATATCCCTACGATTCTGTTCGCCCCAGCGTTGATTTAATTGTTGTTCATTTTTTTTGTCCACATCTGTTGATTTGTTTTTTGTTTTTATACCATGAGCAACTTGGCTGTGTTTTACGGATGAAATTCCGCAGATATGTTGCACAGTTGGAAGGTCTATGAACCCCTAAAGGGCCCGTGTCTAGCCCCGAAAAGAAGGTAAGTGGTGTCTATGAACCACCCCGACCCTGGGTCTTGCATGGTGGGCTTATATAATTGGGGACACCAGACAACCTCCCTTCTTGGTGACTCCACACCGAAAAAACCAGTTGCTGCCACATTGGACCATTGCACTGCACATGCGTGGAATTCCAACGCATTGGGCTTCCAGGTGGGCGACGAGTTTGGCCCGAGCATCGAAGCACAGCCGCTTGAGTCCAACGATGCTCGGGTGGGTCGCGGGCGGGAAACGACGTCGTTGGTCGCGGCGCCTTCCGGTTTCGGTCACCGCGTGTTTTTTTTTTTTTTTTTTTTTTTTTTTTTTTTTTTTCTTTTTTTTCGGTCAAGACTGCAGGAGCGCTAGCGTTTAAGACTTTCTTGGATCGTTCGACTTGTTTTTCCCGCATGGATGGACTGATCGGCCACCATGAAATGTTGAATCCCGAATAACTACTACGGATGTTTGATTACAACATCAGATCAACCTTTCTTTTGACGCTCTTGGAAGGCTAGTACGCTTTCCCAAACCAAAACGCTGCATTGCTGTTTGGCAACGGGGTCCAGCATGGTCTAGCAGACTACCGAGCCTTGAGTTGCTTGGGGATGGAATTTCAAATGTATTTCTGTGACTGCCAACCTGGAACCACCTCAAAGTGTTTTTGATCGATCTGCGGCGGGAAGAATATTTTTTGGAGTCACAGCCTTACTGATTGTTTATGATATTCCACGGTGGTTTATACACAAGCTAAGGGCGTTTATTGGTGAGCCACAGGTGTTTTTTCCCGAGCGTGTTTTTAAAGCAGATGTCTGTGTTGGTTGTGGATGGATGTTTCTGTGGTCTGCAGACCGTATGTTGAAGTACCGGGCAACCACGAGGTTGCAGGTATGTTCCCAGATGCCTCACAGATGTGGTGTCCTCCCTGCATTCCAGGCAGGTCCCTCCCATTCCAGACCCAAACGAACTATCGGGGTCAACGTGCGAACAAAACCCAGACACGACCAATGGGCCGGGACTGGCACAACTTACCCATGTTGAGGAGGTTGAAAGGGGTGGAATATAGTTGGTGGGTAGCAGTAAAAGATCACACATTTTTTTGAACAAGTCCTTTAAACTCACCATCATCATTTAATGGGGTCTGGTGGGATTTATTATCCGCGTCCCAAAAAGGTCGAGCTTTGGAAAGGATAGCCAGGTCCCTTTTGATATTGTTTGGTTGATTAATAGAGGGCATACCTTCAAGTGAACAACCAGGTATGGTACCAAACCAGCCCCTCTATTTTCTGTATTCCCAAAAGGACATCACTGATCGCCATCCCTGAAATTCTTCCGCGCTCCAGGCTGAGTTTGAAGCCCTTTTCCAGCGTCATCCAGGCAGCGAGCCTCAAGCGTGGTGAAGGCGCCTAGCTGGGTGAACGTGTTCCGCGGAGAAACACCGTTCGGCGGCACCGGGTCCCAAACGATCTATCTATCTACCTATCTATCTATCTATCTACCTATAGCTATCTATCTATCTACCTATCTATCTATCTACCCACCAAATCCAGACAGTTCCCACGATGTCGCTGAAAAGACCGAACTTAACGAAGATATACCAGCACCCGACTCTACAGGTCTCCGAGGGTTGGAGGCTTGGGAAGGGCCCTAACAGCTTTCCATTGGTGACCTCTTGGAGGGTGCTGGTAGTGGCAACTTCAATCCACTGAGATAGACACCCGCCTAGCGCTCCTATGTTTTCCACATGTGATACTGACACCCCAGACCCCAAGCACCGAACCGAAAGCGGAAAAAAGACCACTTGCGGTCATTATCCCAGACATTCCATGTACCTCGAGCTTTAAAACTGTGCAGAATTTATGCCGAACTTGAGTGGTGCAAACGGATGAAAAGGCAGAAACATCTGCACAGTTGGAAGATCCAGGTATAAGCCTACATTGATCCCTTTTCCACCAAACCCAGTGTAGGCATATTTATGGAGTGTTTGGGCATGTCACTACTTGACTGTGCTTTGGTCTTAGACACCTAGCGTCACTTAAGCCCATTTTGGTTGATGAGGGATTTCACTACCAAACGTTTTAACCCCCCTAGCAGTCAATCTTTTAGTTGTTGAGCTGGTAGAGCCCCTGCACAGGGTTGGCCAATGCTTGCTTTTTTGTTCGTACATGTCATGGTTTTCCGGTCTGCAATGAGGAAGCGGGCAGCTTTTAGCATGCTTCCCTATCGATCCACATACCCTTTGAGAAGGTGATTGGAGACACCTTTATATGAGACACCTTTATGTCCAAGTACCTTCTGAGAAGGTGGCAGTGGGATCCCTACACCTTAGGAATCAGGTCCAATCATATAGTAGTGTGGAGTGTCAGGGAGTGCCTCTCCAAGTTGTGTGGCCCCTCAAGTCTAGTTGAGGGGCACTGACCTTGGGTCGAAAAATTCCTCGCATGTGTTGGTCACTTCTGCTTGAGGCAGCAATTGACGTACTTCTTATACCCCTATAGTACCCCAGGATCCGAAGCACCATGGATTCAATAGGCTCTTGGTGAGACTTCAAAACTCTTGCAAAATTTGAGAAAAAACCATTCGAAAGAACTTAACTCCTACCCAGGCACTCCATATAGACCCTGAGTGACCTGTATTCTAGACCACCAACCACCATGCAGCGTTTAGTAGAGGACGCGTCTATAGGTATTGGTGTGGTTGCAGTGATCGATCTATTGCCGCATAATTGACCCTTCCAGATCATGTAGTTCTTAATCACAAAAAAACTCTCCCGTGCACCGAGTACCCAGCCCACCGGTGGCAACGGGTGGTGGGCCTTCGGCCTTCGGTCCAGGTTATGGACTTCATGCCATCCACACTTCCACCGCGGACAGGGGGGCACGACGGGGCGGGTGGGGGCCAGGCGGAAGTGGAAGGGTTACCATGGGTGGTTCTATGGTTGAGGTGCATCCAGACTGGCCACAGCTTGAAAGAAGAAAAGAAACAGTATAATTATACAGTATACATGCAGATTATATTAGCCATCATGGATTGAAAAGACATTTGGGGTATTTGAAAAAGACATTGTTCAATGCTTGAGAAGACACTTTATAGTCCTCGTTACACTCGGGGTTCTTACGCTAGTAGTTAAGCACCGGTGTTAGATTCGAGGTGCCGCGCCGGGGCGTCCGGCCAATTCGTTTTGCTATTTACGGTACATTCATGCCTCTCGAAGTGCATTTCGACTGCGCAGGCTCACAAAATCTGGGCGTCCGCGCCGGGTGCTTGTCCGACTGCGCTCTTCTTGTGGTGCCGCGTGCATTTTCGGACATGGTGGTGACTTTTCGTGGCATGCGCAGGGGAAATCTGGTGTTTTGGTGGTCCAAAGTCGACTTTTTGCAGGTGCAAGGGATCGGAGCGGCTTGGCTTACGGTGACAAGAGTCGGCAAGTGCATTGGGTGGCCAATATCAATGAGTTCAAGGGGGGGTTCCGGATTTCAGGTGTTCAGGTGTTCTGTGCTGCTGCAAAGCTTTCCAAGGCAGCACTCTTGAACAAACATTGGAACCCCCAATACAACAATTTGGCAAAGGCAAAAAAGTTTGCATTAGTGCCCACTTCAATTTGACTGGGAAGTGTTGGCTTGTACTCAAAGCTGATTGAATGTCCTTGAGACTGCTTGCCTCAAACAATGAACAGGCACCTTTGCACACTGTACGTTCCGCTGCTCTTTGCATAGGTTTAGGACCCCATATTTCCTGAAAATCTGCCTTGCCATGAGCTCAAATGTGCGAGTGGTGCCACACCAGCAAGCAGCTTTGCAGTTCAGTGCTGTGACAGTGGCTGGCCAACCAACTGACAAGGAGAAGAGCAAGATTGCCAAGGTGGAAAAAAAGCTAGCTTTGGATGTGCCTGAGGCTGATGCAGATGCAGCTGCTGTGAAGAGTGATGGGCACAAGAGCGAAGAGGAGGTGGGGTCTCGCATGAGGCCGTTCCAATGGCATGCCTTGACTCCCCGATTTCGGAAACAGCATAGAAAACAGCGTGGGAATGCTGGATCACGCTACCTCGAACAGATCCTGGCCGAATAGCGCTGATCATCCTGTTGTGAGCTGCAGGTGTGAGCAAAGTGCCCTTCAGCTTTGTGGGTTCGTCGCCGTTTTGCAGGCGCGGGTTTCAGGAAACCAGGGACGAGCGGAACCCCGCGGAAGAAGACTGACCTTAGCTTAGGTTTTATTCGCACTTGCATTGAGCTTGCGGTTGCAAGTTTTATGTTCACGAAAATTCACCAACATGTTGCACCGTGACATTTTG